ATGGAAGGATGCTGGTGCCTCACTTGTTTCATACATCAGATGGGCACATAAGACCTGGGGGAAGAGAGGACCTGCCACCACAAGGAGGGCGACAGTATTGCTCCCACTGGGTCTGCTTCCAGTTAACATGTGTTTGCTTAAAAGATTTATAGATTACATTGTATGGTTCTTAACCTAGCCATCACAAAATGGGCAGAGAAAATAACAATGGAAGATATTCTAATGAAAATTAAACATCTTTTCATCTGTCGCATTAGGAGGTTCACATAATGATCATTTGATCTATCTGTGGCAGAAAGCAGCCCCCAAATCATAATTATATAAAATATGTATTTACATCCATGGTCATTAACAATGAAACCTTTCTCAGGATGTATGTTGTGCTTTGAGGTATTGGCTAATGATAACATAAAGTTAATATTAGCAAGACACTTAAGAAAATGTTTAATTTCATCTTAAAATTGTCTATGTAAACTTTGAGTCATCCTTTTAAAATATATATTTTTGTGCATGTTTTACAACATACATGGTATATTGGCACAGAAGTACATGTATAACCTATGGATATACATATAATGGGAATACATTTCCAAGTTTTTTTAACAAGTGTGTATATGATCAAAAAAGTTTGGAGCACAAATGCTTTTCAGATAATTTACTTAAAGATATGAGGTTCACATATTTTAGTTATGTTATTATATTAATTACACAATGTAAATGTCTTCTACGTTATCTTGTTGTAATGCCCTTGCAGGTAAGTCATCTTTAGGTGACTTTTCCAGGTTGATGTGGGAGAAAGTGAAGTAGAATGGAATTAATCAAATTGTAGAATCAGTCATTGTAGGTGAAGTAGATGTTCAATAACCAAGATCTCTGGAATTTCATAGTTTAATAATAAAAGAGTTGTGTTAATTCAACTCATTTGTGGGGAAGCTGGCCTAAATCAGAGAGAGAGAGATGAGTTATAAAATATTCTTTAAGAAGTGCTTTAATAATTTTGAGGACAGATATGAGGAAACGAAGTTGTATTTTAGCAAATCTTTTAAGTGCTTTCATTTAACAGATAACTGGGAATTATTTATCATTACTCTGTTCATTGTTTGAATTAAAATTAATACCAGAGTGGAGCTGGAGAGTGATCTTTTTTCCTTTTACATTTAAATAGGCTAGACATTTATTTTGTTTACACCATTAATTTGTTTTCACACAGGCTGCGAAGGTAACCATCAACTCAGAATTAATTAATGGAATCAAAATTAATGAGGTTTTACTGTATTGGGCCATTTCTACTCTAGGCCAGTTTTCTTCACATGTTGGACTAGCATTTTCTTGAAAGAAGAAAAATTAGATTTATTTTAATCCATATTTAAAAAGCAGAGAACCATCTTTTCTTGTGAGTTAAGTACCTCTAATAACTATGCTTCCTTGGGCTTAGTAATATTGATTTTTTTTGTTTTCAGTCTTGATTATTTTGGCTGTTTCCATACTGTTGCTTATTACAGTAAAGCTAGAGTTAACTCTTCAGACGCTTATTTGCATTTGCAGAGATGGTATATCATTTTTATTTTGGATGCAATTTTTTTTTTTTCTGTGAGGAAGACTGGCCTTGAGCTAACATCTGTTGCCAGTCTTCCTCTTTTTTCTTGAGGAAGATTGTTGCTGAGCTAACATCTGTGCCAACCTCCTCTATTTTATGTGGGATGCCACCATAGCGTGGCTGGAGGAGCAGTGCTAGGTCCACTTCCGGGATCCAAACTTGTGAACCCTGGGCTACTGAAGTGGAGCGCACAAACTTAACCGCTATGCCACTGAGCTGGCCCAGGACCCAGTATTTTTTTGTGGGTGGAGCATGTCATTTTCTACTTTTCATTATTATTGCCCCGTATGAAATAGGAACAGAACTATTCTTTAAAACATTTATGTAAATATATGTGTTAGAAGAGAATACATCACGTGGAAATGAAAAGCTGGAATTTTTGGAATTAGAGTTCTTTTTTACCTTCAGAAAATTATGTCCCATAGTCTTTTTAAAGCAGATCCTATGTTATTATTTATTTGCTTTGTATGTCCTTTATTTTTACTAATAAGAGGGATAACATGATGTAGAGCTTTTAAATCTTTTTATGAGGATGGATGCATTTTCTTGAAGTTTTGAAATTATCTGCCCGCATATAAATGAGCATGGTGAAAGTTCGAACAGTGAAGCTTCTCATAAGGAGTTTTTGCCCAAGGTCAGGTTCCTCAGGAATGTGGAAGCCTTTTTTGTTTGCATAATGTCTGCAGCCTTCTCTCTGCTGGTGATAAACTACAGTAGGCGATATGTGGCCGAGAGAGAACGGGTTAGCTCAGCGGTTGTCAGTCGTTTTGTGTTACCTCACATGTTGAGATCTACCAATAGATAATTTGAGGAACACTGAACATTGTAAGGAATATTGGTAAAAATTCACCTTTTTTTTTTTTTTAAGAAAAAACAAACTTCACCTCAACTCATGCCTCATTTCTTTGCTCTTAAAGGAATGACAAGAGTGTGTGTGAATATTAATGAAATGACCATGGACTTGGGGACTAGCAAGAAGACTAGTTAGGTGGATGGCATTAATTATGGATTAGCTCATGTGAAGGAAGGTTTTGGAGAGCTTGTGAGTTGAAGTAGCAGAATCAGAAGGAGTGGTGTGTGTTGTGACTGCTGTGGCAGCTCAGCGCCTGATGGAAGGATGTGAATAGATTGAAAGGAATGCTGTGTAGGAGTCATTCTTTTTAGTTAATCACACACAGAGAAAACCATCACTGATAAGTTTATTTTTTGTAATGAGAGAAATAAATAAAATGACCACTTTTTGGCAGATTGGTGTTGCAAAATAGAAAATAGTAGTTAACCATTAGTGTGGCAATTATCCCTTTTTTTGTAGATTGAATGATGGATATGTTTCATAAATACAAAGTCAGTACTAATGATAATCTGTAGAAATACAAAGCATCCGTGGTATTAAACTATTATCTTCAGTTGGTGATGTATGTGTCATGAAACTCATTATTTTATGTAGTGTGAAATAACTGAAAATAAAGGCATCATGGTGTATATTTTTACCTTGTTTTATTCTAACGTTGCTTATATTTGAAGGTTTTCTTTTTCTAGTTTGCCACTTTATTTTGATTTATTGCTTAATTGTAAAGCTAATTTTTGTGTGCCATAGTCAACTATCATTCAGTCCTTAATATGTCTTTTAAAAGAAAGAAGTCATCTTTCGTGGTTCAGTTGAACGCTTATCAGGGAACATGAAATAAGTAAGCTTAACAAATGCTTATTTAAGAAAATTCTACATGTTTTAATAAAAGTTTACAACACGATCTTTCTGAACTTAGTTTTCTTAACTTTTAAAATTAGTAACCACCTGCTATGTTGATTGTCATGTTCAAATCATTATAAAACAAAAAATACAAATAAAGCTAACAGAATAAAGATGAAAACACCTGAATTAAAGAAAAAGGTAAATAGTTAAATCTTACTATCTTTGTTTTATTAATGTTCTGCTTCATTAAAAATTGATTTTAGGTTGTTTACAAAAATAAACATTATTCAGTAGGATAAAAATAAGGCTAAATCTTGGTGAAGAAAAAATCAGAGAAGAAAGTAGATGAGACCACTGAGAGTCAACATTCAGGAATGTAGGCCCAAGATCTTACACTGTTGTGCGTAGAAAATTCAGTCCTGGGTTTCTGATTAGCCAAAACAGAAAAGGAGGCAGTTATAGCAGCTTTCCCCAAAGTGTGTTCCTCACAATCTAGGTTTTATAAGATTACAGTGGTCAAAGTTTAGACTTAGAGATGAGCGATGCTGTATCCCCCTTGTGGATATAATTATATTCACATCAGCATGTTAAAGGTTCTTGGAAGTTTGTGTATAAAAACATCAACTGTAACTTGTGTTTCCCATGCACATTTGGCCACTGCCTCCGTTTTGTTTTCATCTGATACCTGTTAACATATCTCGTTCAGTGACATATTGTTCTTTTGCTAAAAACAGTGTATTTGCCTAGGAGAAGCCTAGGAGGGTGAGGTTTGGATCCCCTTGGATCCCTTAGAAGGGATAGTGTATATGTAGTGCAGTGGGCCTCATCCTCAATGGATAGCCACAGTATGTATAATAGATTTTCAGATGGCTGTTTTCATATAGTTTCGCCTTAGTATGAACTGAAAGCATAATCTACTAATTCACCAAAAAGTTGTTAAAGCTTATTAATTGTCTTACAGAAATTTGAAGACTTTAATTTCTAATTTTCTACGTTGTTGTGGATTCAGTTCTCTATTGCTAGTGAAAATCTTTACCATATTTGATTGTTTGTGTTCTGTCTTGTTCTAAAAAGGAATTGAAGGGCAAAAACTAGAGATGAGCAGAAAATACATAGCAGAATGTTTAATTGGCTGTTGTGTGTGTGTTGAGGTGGTGCACCTGCTGACATTGTAGACAGAAACTGTGAAGCACATCTACACATAATACAAAATGTCTGTGGCTCTAAAGAAATTATTGTGCTAGAGGGACCATGAGGGTATTGTTTTTGAGCAAAGGAGCAGGGAAAAGCATGGGTCTAAATGAGAGTCACAAACAGAAAGAAACACGCCAGAAAGCAGCTCTGGCAGCTAACAAAGGCACGTTCACACTGTGGAAAGAGCACACATAATAACAGATCAATTTTTTCTAGCTTTGCCTGCTCATATCTAGTAATCATTTTAGTAAGGTCATCTTCAAATTTGAACAGCACATTTTTCAAGGCATCTTTTCCATCTTTAAGCTAGGCTTAATTTTCCTTTTAAGTATTGTGGTAATTGAACTGGGCATTTTATGTGTAATATAAAGGGACACATTTTTTGACATAACCTACTAGTGGTTGATTTTCAGCAGTAGTGAATGTATAATTAATTTTGGTTTCAGTTATTGAGGACAGGATCTGTTTTATTGTGAATTTAATCTGAATATAATTAAGGTTTATTCTTCTTTTCAGGCGAGAGTGCAGCACTGCATCTGCTCTGTAGCCAGTGACCACTCAGTAGGACTCCTAAGTTTGCGTGAGAAAAAATGCATTATGCTAGCATCTCGTCATCTTTTCCCTATTCAAGTAATCAAGTGGAGGCCTTCTGATGATTACCTAGTGGTGGGATGTTCAGATGGCTCTGTGTACGTTTGGCAAATGGATACTGGTAAGAGCAAATGTTAAAAGAGAGAGACTAGAAAATTAAATCGTGTATGTGATTCGTAGAAATTAAGAATCTTATATATGAGGGAAAAAGCCCTGAAATGTAAAAAGATTGCTGCTTTTATTTCTGATCACTGCTTTTTCCAAGTGTCCTCATCATTGTCAACAAAGAATATTTAAATATGCTATTTGCTGTACTATGCCAAATACTTGTAGACTAGTTCACTGATCTTTAAGGGAATGTAATTGAAGATAATATACAGATTAGGACAGACATGCAGACAACAGACAAAAAATAAGTGCTTTCTGTATAATTCATGAGGTAAATTGTGAGCAAGATTAAGGAACCATTTTTGTCTCAAGTTCAGAAACAGTGGAAAAAGATGAGATACTCTTTTATTTGAATAGCAGAAAAGCAATATGGAGCAGTTAATTGTAGGAGATAATTGAAGTGAACGTTTTAAGTTCTAGAGAGAACATTTAAAATTTCAAGTTTCAGAAATTTTATGTGTGGGGTATAATATAGAACAAGTAATGCTTAACTTAAAATTACAGAAGATGATGTATAATGTTTATACAAAGAATCTTCTGGTTTTCCCTGGGAAATCTTTAAGTATGTAACTAAATGTTTATTTGTTTAAGCTTTTTAAAATACATTTTATTCTACTTTTACTATCTTAAGTCATCATTTATCAGTGATTCAAACTTTTTACATTCTTAGTTGTACTATAGTTCTACTAATTTTTTTCCTTTTCTCCATCTTTTTTGGTTTGTTTTAAATAATCCTTTTTGAAATCAGACTATCTACATATTTCTGTTTGCACTGTGGTACAAATTCTTCTAGGTCTTTTTGGAGCAAGTAGCCATAATCTTCAGTGATCTTTTGTTGATAGTCCTTGTTTTAGCTGGTAGTATTCAGGCAGTCTTCACAAGGGGAAGCGTGCTTAAAGAGTGTCACACTTCTTTGCTTTTGCATTTCACTTTTCTTTTTCTTGTCTGATTGTAAAAAAGGGTTATATACTTTTTGTTAAATTTTAAAAGCACAAAAGTATTAGATGGGAAGAAAGATCAACTCAAATTTCATTGCTCAGGTTTAAATACTAACATTTTGGCACATTTCTTTCCAGTCTTGTTTCTGTGCATTTTTAAAACCAGAACTACTGTCATACTACTTATCTAATTTTGTATCTTACTTTTGTGTCCCTTTTTGTTATATCCTGTCTGCTGAGCAGCACTGTTTTCATGTTTGCCGCTCTGGTCCACCCCACAAGCTAAATATGCAAAGTTTGTCTTGGGCTCTGGAATCAGACTGCTTGCTTTGAATTTAGATCAACCATTTGCTAGCACTGTGATCTACGGCAAGTCACCGGACTTTTGCCCCTCAGTTTACTCATTTGTAAAATGAAGATGATAATATTTTCTATTTTATAGTGTTTCTGGGAGAATAAAATGATGTAATATTTACCTGGAGTGTAGTGGACATAATGTAAGTGTGTATATGTGTATGTTTGTGTACTTGAAGTTTGTGTTTACAGGCATGTGTATATATTTCCTATTATTATTATTTAACAGATGTGCTGCTTAACTTGTACTTTGTTAAACTTGGGAATATGACCTTACTTACATTTAGAAATGTTTTCTTTGAGAATTAGTTTGAAAGAAAGTTCTTATAGCAATGATAATCATAAAACACTGTTGTTAAATACTACAAATATTAAATTAACAATTGATATATATAAATGCAAAAGTATGGTAAACTTGTCTAGGACTTTTAAAAATTAAATTAGTATGGTAAAGGAAGAGAGTATCATTTTCCTGAATTTTTCAGATACTTAAATATATGATATTTGAATACTGCAGATGCTTTAAATGTAAAGAATGTGAAATTCTTTACAAATGAGACCTTACTGAAAGACAAAGTAACTACTAGTAATTTCCCTAGAAGGGAATGATAAATAGCTCCTAACTATGCTGTGCTGGAGGATGTTATTCTTATAACCAGTTTAGTATAATTAAGCCCGTTTTAAATTAAACACAATAGATAATATTGGAATTTCCCAATTATCTTCTGACCTTTAGGGGGATTTGGGTAAACAGCCAATATGGCATTCTTAAATCATTCTTAAATAATAAAGATAGAGAAGCAGAATTTATTTTGGATCTCAGCCCTAACAGGAGGTATACGTTCTTTTTTCCTCCTTGCTGTTCAGGCTTTAGCTAGTGATATAAAGGTCCCTTGGGAATCAGTAAGGCACATCCTGAAGGTATTGACATTATTTATTTATTAAATTTATTTATTTATTAAATAAATAAAAAATGAAGCTAAATAAATCAGATTCAGCCAAGGTTTGATGTATGAAATGTATTTAAACTTTGAGGAGATACTTTATCCCTCGTCTTAATGTTTTTGGAATGTATTTTTACAGATCAAGCCATATTGCACTGAAACTGCTTATGCTTATTGTGCAGTTTTTTGTGTTTGCTATTTTGAATTATACTGATGGTTCTAGCTTAAAAACACTTAAAAATGTCTTTCCTTTATACTTTTTTACAGTATTTTCTGTTAGTTGTTTTTCTCTTCAAATGGATGGTTTTTATTTTCAGTGTTTATTTCCTAATGAAATGAAATTGAAGTTAGTAATATAAAATTTAATTAGGTGCAGAATCTTTTGTTTTTTTATTGTGTCATCTTTATTATACACAATAACAATTGATAGTGATGTGGAGGCTGTGGAATTATTCTTTCACATCTCTGGATAGTTAGAAAATTAGTCCCACAACTAGCAACAGGATTTGGCCACGTGAACCTCTTGACACCTACTTAGGACCTCACTAAAGGTGGGCCACTGCCCTAGATGGTGGTTGCTTCTACATGGAGCTGTTTATCTGCTTCAGGGATCAACTTCCTCATTCTTCAAGTTTGATGTTCCCAGTAAGCATGCAGTGTCGCTCCCACGGGCCTTTGACAAGGTCAAAATCCTGTCTATTTGGGCAACAGTTGCATGCCTTAAATAATGACTGATGTTACAAGATGTTCTTCTTATCTAACCCATCACCAAGGCTAAACAATATTCTCTTATGCCCATTTTTGTCTTTGCTACGTAACAAAAGTGATTTTCACATCTTATACCTATTCCTATAGGGACAGTGATTAGATGTTCTTGTACAAATGCAAGCACCAATAGTACTTACCAAATATTACTAGAAATTAGTGTACAAGTGTTGTCAATTTACTTTGTTCTCTGGTTTTTTTGATTTATGTTCTGCCCTTCCAAGTTTTCTGAAATATTCTTGTTTTTGCATTTACTTCATGAAATATGCACTTGTCATTTTTTTAAAAACTTATCTAATAAAATATAGCAGAGAATTATGACTATTGTATATTTATGTCTATTGAAAAATGTATAGATAACATGGATAACCAGAGACATAAGTGAGTCAGAGAATCAGATTTTTCATACAAGTAAAGCCTTAGTGTGTGTGTGTTATTCTTGTTTTAGACTAATTCTTAAAAATACTTTCCTGCTTTTATTTTGATTTATTTAAATTGATGGTTTTGTCTTATTGAAATTACCAAAAAGAATCAGAAGGTGGTACTTCAGTCCAGTATTTTGTTATTAGTAGAAATGGTTAGTAGGAGGTATTTTCTTCACATATTTGACCCTTATCTGCAATATTTAATATAGTAGAGATTTGACTTTACATTTCCGTTTCACAGTGTATGGCTCTACATCATCAGTTCTTCAATATCTTTTACATTTGTGTTTTTCCTTCAATTACAAAAAAATGCTATAGGACAGGCAAAGACACAAAGGATGAAATAGTTAAGAAAAATAGTACTTTTCTAAAATCTTGGTAAAACCAAATATAATCAGATTCTTTCTTCCCTTTGCATGGTTCACCCTGGAATTTTGAAGGGAGAGGTTGTTAGAGTGGAAATATGGCTATCTTTATTGCCTTCTCTCCCATGAGCCCTTTGTGCAATTAATTACTAAATTCTTCCCCTTAGGTACCTCTCTACTCCCTTTTTTCTTTCCAGTGTACCATTCTAACCTGGGCTATATTTTTTCACGTCTAGTCTATCTTTATTGGTTTCCCTGTCTTCTATTTCTACCTTGTAATCCATCCTATACTCTGCTGGCAAATGAATTTTAGGACATAAAACAACACTTGGTTTATGCCACTGTCTTATGAAAAAAACAAATGGTTTAGTTCATATAGCTGTTAAGACAAAGTCCTCCAGTGTGGTACCCTCCTACCTTTGTCTGTATCTCCTGCTATCCTTTTACACAGACGAGTTGCTCGTGTAAAGAATGATTCCAGTCAAAAATAATTGGGTCACCCTCTACCACTTTTTGTCTTCTGTATCATCCATATTCTTGCTCATGGTTTTCATTCATTTAGAACATATTTTATTTCTATTTGCTTATTTCTTTAAACAGTCTCTTGTCTTTTAAGGAAATTTGAATAATAAAAACAAAATCTTACATATTTACCTTTTCTGTTGCTGTTCATTGCTTTGTGTAGATCCACATTTCCATCTGCAATGATTTTCCTTTTGCTTAATATTTAATAGTTCTTGTAACTCAGGTCTATGTGTAATGAATTCTTTCAGCTTCTGTATGTCTGAAAAACTCTGTATTGCACCTTCATTTTTAAGATTTTTTTTCTGGGTATAGAATCCCGGGTTGACAGCTGTGTTGTTTTTTCTTTTCTTTTTTTTCCATTCAGTACTCCACTGTCTTCTTGCTTGCGTTATTTCCAGTGAGAAATCTGCTGTCACTCTTATCTTTATTCCTCTCTGTATGCTGTCTTTTTTTCTAACTACTTTAAAATTTTTCTCTTTAATATTAGTTTTGAGCAATTTGATTATTGTTTTCTTCATATTTCTTGTACTTCAAGTTTGTTGTACTTCTTGGATCTGTGGATTTATAGTTTTCAACAAATTTGGAAGCTTTTGGCCATTGTTTATTCAAATGTTTTTGATCCTCCTCATTCTTGACTCTCTTTGAAGACTTTAGTTATATGTCTATTAGCCTGCTTGAATTTGCCTACAGCTCATGGACTATCTTTTCACTTTTAAAATTATTTATCTGTTTCATTTTATATAATTTCTATTCTGTCTTCAGGTTTACTAATCTTTTCTTCTACAATGTCTAATCTGCCATTATTCCAATCTAGTGTATTTTTCATCTCAGACATTGTAGTTTTCATCTCTAAAAGTTTAATTTTGGTCTTTTGGTATCTTCCATGTCTCTCTATTCAAACCTTTTGAACATCTGGAATACAATTATAATTACTTTTAATGCCCTTCTCTGCTAATTTTAAAAAATCTATGTCAGTTCTGGGTTGGTTTTTATTGATTTGAATTTTTTCCTCATTATAAATCATATTTTCCTGGTTTTTTTGCAGAATAGCCCGATGGTGGTTCAAGGATGGAAGCAGGGAGATTAGTTTGTATGCCATTCCCTCAAGGCAATAAAGGATGGTGGATTATTAGAGCATAGTGGTAGCAGTGGAGCTGGTGAGAAGTTGGTTGAATTCTGGGTATATTTTGAAGGTAGAGCCTACAGGATTTGCTGATAGTTGGATGAGGGTTATAAAAGAATGAGATGGGTCAAAGATGACTCCAAGGTTTTGATCATAAGCAACTGGAAGGATGGAATTCATTTTGAGATATTCAGAAGACAGTGGGAAGAGTAATTTTGGGAAGATCAAGAATTCAATTTTTGATGTACTAAGTTGAATTGAATATTACACATTCAAGTAGAGATGTTGATTAGTAACTTGTATATATGAGTCTGAAGTTCAAGGTGGGGGAAGTCAGAGTGGGTGATGTAAATTTGGGAATTCTGAGCATACAGAAGATATTTAAAGTCATAGCACTGAATGTGTCACCAGTCCAAGAATGCAGGTAGATAATGATTGGGGCACTCCAGGGTTTAGATGTATTTCTGTGATTTGGAGAAACCAGCAAAGGAGGCTAAAATGGACCTGTCAGGGAGAAGAAGAAATTAAAGAATGTGATTGCCTGGAAGCCAAGCGAAAAAATGTGTTTGAAGGAGTAGAGAGGAAGAAAGGTCAAGTAGTACTGATAGTAAATGATAGTAAAATGAGGACTAAGAACTGACTGTTGGATTTAGCAACATAGACAATACTGTGTATGTTTGTGGGGTGAACTCTGAGTAAGTTCAAAGGAAAATGGGAGGAGAAAAATTTGGAGGTAGCAAATATAGACAGCTCTTTAGAGGACAATTACAAAAAATGGGATACCAGCTAGGGAGAGATACTGTGTCAACTGTGTTTTTTTTAACAGGTGAAATAATTGTATGTTTATGTGCAGATAAGGATGATCTTATGCTAATGGGAATGATCTAGTAGATAGGGAAAATTGATGAACAGAAAGGGGAGAATTGCTGAAATGATGTCCTTGGGCAGACAGTAGAGGGATGGGTTTAAGCTACAAGTGTGTTTTGCAGGAGCCTGGATAGTTCATTCATAATTACAGAGTAAAGTGAGTGGAGATGTGGTGGTGGGAGCTTGTGGAACTTCTTTTCTAATTGCTTCTTTCTAAATAAAATAGGAAACAAAACTTTTCACCCAGATGAGGGCAGGAAATGGAGTGTTGGAGATTGGTTGTAGAGAGAAGGTGTGAAAAATTAACTGGGAGAGTAGGAAAATGAAATGTCTGTGGAAATGTGGTCTCTACTAAGGGCCCACTTGAGATCAGTGGTCATGAATTTTAAGTGGATCTGTCAGTATGTTTGTCATTCATGTCCATTCTCACTGTACAGGTGCAGAGTGGGTGGAGGGTAAGATTCAACCAGGGTTAGAGTTTGCTCAGCTAGTATGAGGAGGTGAGATGAGGACAAAGCTGTGGTTATGAAGATGGATGATGAAATTTTAGTTTAGTAAGGAGAGACATGAGGACATGGGGAAATGAGAGAGAGTGCAAGGGTGATAGGTTAGTGAATTGTTGGAGTCAGTACTGAACAAGGAATTATTGGAGTCAGAAGGATTGAAGAGAGGAATGGAAGCTGCTGTCAGAGTAGAATATTTGAAATTGGGATCATATTGGGATTTCAGCTGTTGTTATTGAGAAGACCATTGGCTTAGGTCAAGTATAGGACAAAATTTATTTGAGTAGAGGAGCTCAAAGAATCAAGAGATCTGGATATGTGAAAGAATCATATGTGCTGGTGATTTTCAAACATTTTTGAACTTCTAAGTCCCATTAGAGTATACACACTCTTCTTGTCATACATGTACAAAAAAATTCCTTCTTTTGCTTTGCCTTCCAAAATATATTGGCCAATACTCAGTGAATTGATTAGTAAAACACTGATTTATGTTAATACTGAAATCACCAGAAATTATTCCAGGAGTACTGTTGGAAAGAGGACAGTAAGTCAGGAGGTAAGCTGTTTAAGGAATGAGGGGCAAACTTGAATGGCTTGTATATAACCATTCAACATTGGGAAGAAAATGTGTGTTTGGATGTTTGGGCACTGGCTCAGAAACAGCAAAAATTTTATATGTTGTTGACATTTAAGTTTTTGGTGTTTTCTGTGGTTATTTTTCAAAATTGACTTGTCCTCTTTTAGAATGACTCTGGAAGAATGCCCAGTGAATCAAAATAAACTTCATCATAATTTCATTGTCATTATTATAATCTTCAAAAAATTATGTACTAATCCTTACAATGAGACCCTTCTCTACTGATGTGATGCTGGGTACTGTGTGAAACAAAGTATACAGAAAGGCCGTCCGCTTTCCAGGAAGGAGTTCGCGCTCTAACTTAGACGAGAAATGTGTAGATGGAGATAAATGAAAAGAATGGCCAAGTGAAGAAGCTTTGAAGTGGTTACAAGTGGATGTAGTAGTATTTTCACAAACACGCAGGGAAACATTTGATTGGGTGTTAAGACTAATAGGAAATCTGCAGATAGAATGAGAAGTTATCATTTTTTTCCCTGTTTTATGGCAGTTTCTTAGAGGAAGAGAAGCTTCAGGAATTATTCAAGAAGAAAAAATTAGAAAAATAGCAAAACTTAGGTTTTTTTTGTTTAAGATTGGTATACGACTTAGAGGAAGGTAAAGTCATAGAAACATGTTTGTAATAGAGTAATAGTGTGGAGTGATCAAGGAGACTATCTTGAAAGTAGAAAGAAAGTGGAAAAGCCTGGGGGAAGTTGTTGAAATCTTGGCTCTGAACTAGACTTCATTGGGAGGTTGTGGTAGGGGCCTTACGGGAGAGGAAGTAATTAAGGTAATGCTACATGGAAGATCAGTAGAGCAAGGAAGCGTAAGAGAATGTTTCTGGGAAGTGCTGATAAGACATATTCCTACATAAAAAATGTCCATGCGTTTTCTTTTCGTAAAAAACTGTTTAAAATTGCATAGCCTTGTGTAACAGTTGTGAATCTGTACGTCTTCCAGGTGCGTTGGATCGTTGTGTGATGGGGATAACAGCAGTAGAGATTCTGAACGCTTGTGACGAAGCCGTTCCCGCTGCAGTTGATTCACTTAGTCATCCAGCAGTCAACCTAAAACAAGCTATGACAAGACGTAGTCTTGCTGCCCTTAAAAATATGGCCCATCATAAGCTGCAAACCCTTGCAACTAACCTTTTGGCTTCTGAGGCGTCTGACAAAGTAAGTTTTGCACATGGCCTCATGTGTGTGGTCCCCATTCAACTTCATTTAATGACATAGTTTTTACTGTGTCTTAGGGAATAATTTTTGGGAGATGACACTGGTAAAAATAAGGTTTTGATTTTTATTTAGGTTTATCCAACATAGTTTTAGAGTATTTCAAGTGTTTGCCATTTTGAAAAAGTAAATTGTTACCATTCAAAATATTTAAAAATGATTTTACTGAATTAAGTGGCATCAATTTCTGAAATTAGAGCAAACATTTTACATGTAATCTGTCTTTTTGATTTTCTGACAGTCTTCCTGTTGAAAGATTGGAGCTAATATCTCCAGGAGAAAAAAGCAATTTAGGTACAATTAAGATGTTTGTAATTATGGCTTAGCATTTGTTTTTAAGTAGGTTCTGATTTTGGTAAGGTTAGGCCATTTTAAGGATTTAAGAAAATGTTTGAGAATAGGTATGGTGAAGTTGTACAAGTGCTGGTATTTTTCTGGGAGACCCAAGGTCAATCTCACTTTCCCTACTGACACTTAAAATCAAGGCATCAGTTACTTCTTCAGTTAACAGAAGATTATCCTACTGAAAGAAGAACAAACAATCTCAATTCATTGATTGGTTACTTGTCTTTAGTTTTGTAGAGTCTACCCAGTATTTGGTTTGTGGTATTTGTATTCTGTGGTACTGTTAGAACTAGTTTGTCTTGGTTAAGGGATAAATGAAACCTAGAGACAATCCCAGTATTTCATCTGAGTCACTACTTAAAATTCCTAGTTCTGTCTAAGTAGTCATTAGAATTATTAGTAGCTAACACGAATACTTTTATTTTCATTCTCTCTTATTCCTGATTCTTTTTTTTTTGGTGAGGAAGATTCTCTCCGAACTAACATCTGTTGCCAGTTTTCCTGTTTTTTTTTTGCTTGAGGAAGATTAGCCCTGAGCTAACATCTGTACCATGTCCCACATATTTTGTATGTGGGATGCCTCCACAGTATGGCTGATGCGTGGAGTAGGTCCGTGCCCAGATCTGAACCTGTGAACCCTGGCCACTGAATCGGAACGTGTGAAACTATAACCACTCGTCCATGGGTCTGGCCCCTGATTCTTTTTGTTTTTAATGGTTAGACATGTGAATAAATAATGAAGAGGTTGAAAGGCTCATCTATAAACTTAAAACTTTGCCCATGAATTAGTGAGTGCTAATAACATATGAAACACTGTAAGTCAGTTCCACTGACCCATATCCTCTAGCAGTTGACAGTAATATTTGATCATTCTGTCTTTCCCAAGATATAAATGTTTTATTAGCTTTGTTATATTGTGTGTTTCATAGATTAGAATTGTGAAATCCTTTTGTGTTTTTTTTCATGCTTTCTGTCCCATGCTCTAAAGTTTGAATAGAAATCAGGCTTAAATGCATTTGCCATGCCTGTAATTTCCTTTAAGAGGTCATGTAGCTGTCCCTAGGAATTCACTGTTCATAGCACATTGTCTGATGTTCTATATAATTTTAATTTTGAGCAAATTTATAAAACAATATATTCAAGGGCAAGCATGCAAGCATGTTTGTTATGTAATTTCCAAATATATTCTTTTTCTTGTTGGTATCTCCCAGATGTGAAAATTTGGAAAAATACTTATAAAACTGGAAAATTAAAGAAAAATAAGTGGTACAGTAAACATTTATGAATGGCTTTTGTAAGTGGTCATGGTCCATTATGTGATTTTTACAATCTTGTTTGTCCCTGTTTTAATAGCGCATTTTATAGTGCAATTAGTGATAAAAGCACCAGATATCAGAGACACTACACTTATGTATTGTAAAATATATTGCTTGTGAACCTCCTCAGTCTTGTAGCAGTGGTAATTGTCGCCTGGCCTACAAGGAAAACAATTACAGAAGGGGGGAAAAGGCTTAGGAAGCTGAGGCTGCAGGAGGATAATCACTTTATGAAAAATGTATGTTGGCTGGACCATTAGGGATTTCTCTAACTATTTTCTCATGTTGAATTTGAGGCTCCTTCTGAGGGGAATATTTAAAGAGCTGTCCTCTGGATGGCTTTCTAACCTCAGGAGAAATAAAACCCACCCAAAGTTTAAAAAAAAACAAAACGTAACCAAGAGCCTCTCAGTGGTGCAGGATTTACTCTAGGATATTGCATCTAATTTTTTCCGTGAGTCTCTCAATGGAAAGTAAAATCTCTATGGGAATACTTTATAGAAAGAATCCTGCTTTTTCCTTGTTAGAATAGTGTTAGCATTTGGGCTATTTGGAAGTAAGAAATATTTAAATTGCTAATTATGTTAATTATACCAGACATATACAGCCTTGTAAACAATGATGAAGAATTTACTGTTCTGTGATTTTTTTCCCCCACTGGTAGGTCAAGAGGATATTAAGTAGAATTATCCCATGTTACTGCATTGAATCTTTGCAAGATATGTGTATTTGAACCCCTGTGTATTTCTCCTATGACATGTATCTTATATTTTCCCTTATATTATAATAACATGCATACTTATCTGATTCCCCCTACTGAAATCCAGTCTTCTTGCAGGCAGCAATTATGACTTATTTACCTCTGTGTTTTCCCCATGACACCTTGTAGCAGTTATGCAATAAATATTTGTTGAATTGGAAGATGTGTAACAGAAAGTGCTGATAGCCTCTGTTTCAACCTCTTTGAATGTCTTCTCCATTTCCTCACAGTTGATTGTCTTGACTTGACAATCAAATCTAGCCGTGTTCATGAGCCTTTAGATGTGGAGAGTTTATTAATAACTTTTGCCTTCTGTTCAATTTTGCATTCTCCCCTTTGGTTTTGGTGAGCTAGGTTGTCTGTGCCTAACTCATCCTCCTTCCTTGCCATCTCCATATTGTCAGTGTTCCAGCACATCCTGGGATTATCTCAACTTACACCCTCTCCTTTACTCCTGTTCCCTTGGCTCTAGACCAGGGTTGTTCAGCCTCAGCAGTGTTGACATTTGGGACTGGATAATTCTTTGTGAGAGGCTGTCCTGCATATTGTAGAATGTTGAGAAGCATTTTTCCTCTACCCATCATATGCCAGTTGCACCCCGATCTCCCCAGTCATGGCAATCAAAAATGTTTTCAGACGCCACCAGATGCCCCATGGGGGACAAAATTACTTGTAGTTTAAAACCACTGCTTTGGAGAAAAAAGGTTGAGGAATAGTAGGAATCCTCCATCCTGCCTTTCTTTTCCCCTCCCCACCCTTGCTTCCTTAATCTCTTTCCTCTTTGAGAATAGTGAAGCCATCCCAACCCTTATCTCCTCTGTCCTCAGAGGCAGAATTAGTTCTTACATTCTCTTTGTGCTCACCACTTCCTGTTCAGACCTTTCCTCAGACAATTCTCTTTATATGGGCTATTTCTTTTTTTCTTTATGTCTATCTTTCCAATTAGATTTTGAGCTTCTTGAGGACAGGAGCTGAGTTTCTCATCTTTTTATTTCCAGTGCTTAATGTAGTATGTGAAGCATAGTAAGTACCCAAGAAATTTGGTGTGAAGTTAATTTGGAGGTGTAGATTAGAATCATGTCGTGGAATCGACTTGAATGCAAAGCTGAGGACTTAACTCAATGGTTAGCAACATGGTATTGAATAGTCTTAAAAGGAGATTCTTGTTTGTCTAAGGAATATTTTGTCATGTCTGACGTTTGTATGCAGGACACAAATATTGATAGGAGAAATGAATCGTGAGGCAACTGGGATGATATAATGAGAGGTAATGAGGACTGGAATAGGAATAGGCAGTAGAAATGTGGAAGAGGGGAAGGCTTGTAAGCTATTGTGTAGATTGAATAAATACGACTTCAGAAATGAGCAAGGGAAGTATTGAGACGTACAAGACAATTTCAGAGATCTAAGCCTGGTCGAAGGGAGAATGGCAGAGCTGTTAACAGAAATGGACAACTCGTGGGAATAGGCTTTGAGGTGGATGGTAGTAGGAGACATTTGCCTCTTCTGTGTAGTATTGGGAGATAGGGTGTGTGCAGGGAGAACAAGAAATCTCTAAGTGACATAATGGTGAGATAGAGTAAGGAAGGAATTTTCTTTTTTTTTTCCTAAATAAATGCTAGAGTGCATTGCTTGAATTAGACTGCACTTCACATTTTGGGGTGCCTGCTATCATTAGATTATTCCAGATATGCCATCTTCCTTAATTCTTACTGCAAATAAGTGAGTTAGTTGTTATTGTCCTCAAATTTGCAAATGTTGAACCTAAAAGACAGTTGTTTAGAACAGGGACTGGCAAACTTCTTCTGTAAAGGGCTAGATAATAAAAATGTTAGACTTTGCAGAACATGCAGTCTCTGTCATAATGGCTGAACTGTGCCATTATAGCGGGAAAGCAGCCATAGACAATATGTAAACGAATGAATGTGACTGATTGCCAATAAAATTTTATTTTCAAAAATAGGTGCTGGGCTAGATTTGGCCCATGTGTCGTAGTGCTGACCCCTGCATCAGAACATGGCATTATTAATACTAAGGTTGTGAGTACAGTGCCCCCATGGAATGGCTGTTGCTTCATTTTTTGAAAAGCAGTTCAAATGAGTGGTTAAGAGCCCTGGTTCTGGTGACAGGCGTATCTGTTCGAATTACATCTCTGTAACTTGCTGCCTGTGGGTGACCTTGGGCAGGTAACCAGTGGGTTAGGTCACATATCTAATTTAAAGCATATCTTCGTAAAGGAAAAAAGGTTAGTTGATCAGAGAAATGATGTAACATTAAGACTTGGAGAATAAAAGAGAGTGGAGTTAGTAATTAGTGAAGTCATTGGTGATCATTAAGAGAGCTGTTTTGGTAGAGTTGGTTGGATCAGAAATCAGGGTACAGTGAGCTGAGAATGAGTACGAGATGAAGTGGAGGTAGAGTGGGTGGAAGAAGTTTGCTTTTGGAGGAAAAAAGGAGTAGTAGCTTTAGGGCTGCAGGGTTAAGATCAGAGTTTATACTTTGTTTAGGAACTCGCTGAACAT